ACAAGAGAGTAACAAACATAAAAAACAAGAAGGAGAGATAAGGACGATAGATGTTTGATAGGAAAGTAGAAGCAAACCACACCAGAGCACCCGCCAACCACCCACCCTCTCTTTTCGGATTGAAATGAAGCCCAAAATGTGGCAAACTCTTTTGTGCCAGAATTGGTCTCACTAAAGTAGAAGCCACAAGTCCTCTTTACCCTATTTCTTCTATTACGCTTAACCCTATCCGTACGTCGTGTTTTACTATCGTATCCATACGACGTGGGGAACTCTGTGCCTCCCCTTTCCAAAGAGAAAATTTACTCGTTAATCCGATCCGTACGCTTTGCAAAGCAGGCTGTCAAAATGATTTTTTTGAGAAATAATAAAAGTTTCAAAGAGATATTTGTACTAGAAGTATTCTAAAATGTGAAGAATACAACCCCTGGGGTAAAAAAAAGACCCCAGGGCGTACGGATAGGGTTAAGGGATGTCTCCTCTGCAGATGATGCATTTGACATCGTAAGACAATTTGTTGTTTTTTTGTAGAGGTTTTACTACGCTCGCAACTGTATAAGGTCTTACAAGCGCCAAGGGTGGATGTCAACAGAGAAGCCCTTACAAGGAATCCGGCTTGCTCTGCTCACCTCTCTAGCCTCAACAGTACAAAGTCTGCTTCCTCTATCAAGGCACCCCGGAAACAGAGGGTCACAAGAGTGTGACAAACATGAAGAAGCAGAGGAAAATATGACGATAGTAAGGTTGAGAAAAGAAAAGGCAGCAGTTCCCTTTTGCAGTTCAGGCAGATATGAGCATGACATTGATGAATCAGCCCATTTACAATTCTACTGTGTATAAAAACATGTGCCCCCCTTCCCTTTGGGAATGGCCTAAAGACAGTTCAGTCCGTAGCACTGCCCCGAAGTTGGGGGGGTCGTAAGACAATGACAGACGACTTAGTACCATTACTATAATAGTAGAAATCAACTAGTGTTTTAGTCATACTTTATAATAAAATGTGTGTTTTAAAACGTTTTTCCATAGAGCAAGCCAACAGTATGAGCCGACTCATCGCTACCCTGTTGCTCGTTGCCATGGCAACTGTTCTCACTGAAGCCGGATACTATAGAGGAATCGGCGGAATCGGCGGAATCGGCGGGATCGGTGGAATCGGTGGGATCGGTGGGATCGGCAGAATCGGTGGTTTTGGCGGATACGGCATGGGATTCGGAGGTTATGGAATGGGAATGGGCGGTTTTGGAATCGGCGCTATCGGAATCGGCGGTATCGGAGGCGGCTTTGGCGGTTATGGAGGCTATGGCGGTTATGGAGGTTATGGCGGTTATGGCATGGGCTATGGATACCCAAGTAAGAATATATATCTATATATAATTTTAATTCATTATAATTTGTGTTCTACTTCCCGATCTCATCACATTCGAAGTCTATTATCTATCATACACTGGGCAGTCCTGCTTAGTTCCTCTATTAACCTGTTAGCTTCTCCTTTAGTGTAAATGATGTTGACCACTTTTCCTGTTTTAGGGTTCTATGTGTATGCATGTGTCCCGCACTACCGGAGGATGTGTTGTACAGTTTTTCATATGTCGCTTTTAAGCACAAGGGGGCCATCCTGAAAAATGCTGTTTTGAGAAAATCGAA